ATATATACACACACACACACACACACACACATATATACCTTCTCCTTATCTCATAAACTGTTCTGGATTGTTGGTTTGTGAGATTTTGGAAATGTCTGCACTTTACTGTCACCTGCTGGACAGGAGAGGGACATGCGGCCACAGTAAATCCAATGCGTGGCGTGGCATTCTCTGATCAGATCTGAAAGATTATTAATATATGGTTTGTTAGGATAGGACCATATGTGGCCGAGATACAACTAGGCATATTTGAAAATCTGGAATTTGAGGGTGCAAAAAAATCAAAATATTGAGAAAATCGCCTTTAAAATTGTCCAAATGAAGTCCTTAGCAATGCTTATTACTAATCAAAAATTAAGTTTTGATATATTTATGGTAGGACATTTACAAAATATCTTCATGGAACATGATCTTTACTTAATATCCTAATGATTTTTGGCATAAAAGAAAAATGGATAATTTTGACCCATACAATGTATTGTTGCTATTGCTACAAATATACCCCAGCGACTTATGACTGGTTTTGTGGTCCAGGGTCACATATGTGTGTGAGAAAAACGACACGTCAAGCAAGATTTGTGAGGGTCTAATAGGAAAAAAAACAATGTTTTCTATTCTCAGTTTAATATAACATTTAGTTAACTCTGCTAATGGAATAAGTAGCAGGTCTATTTTTAAAGCACAATCTCTTTAGGTTTATGGTCATTAGTGTGTGTGTAAATTATGTGCATTATCCTATGCGAACAATAAAAAAATATAATATATATATATATATATCTTCTTTTTTTTTTTAACTATAATTTGCTGTATACTTCTACTACTACTAATACAATTTGTGTCATTTTCTGCAGTCCAAAGAAAATTATTCAATTTATGCTACATTATTTCCCCTTTACTGTAATGACTTTTTATATGTAGGTTGATTGATTAAATCTGGATTATCTTGTGATTGATATTGCATCTGGAACTATATTTAAATAGCAGCCAAATCAACAAACATTACGACTGATTTATGGACTGTTTTATTAGATAAGCAAGTACAATATAGATAGATAGATAGATAGATAGAAAACAGACATAGACACAGGCACCAGGTGTATGCATTACATAAATTGTCATTTGGAGCTAAAAATGTGTGTCTTTTCATCCTTCTGAATGATCCGTATAGGTCAATGTCCTTCATATACCCATATATTACTGATCTACAAGCAAAAATGGTATAATTCTTAAAACTCCATTAGATGAGTATAAGGTCCGTTTGTATCCAGCTTCAGGACTTGTCTGTTCCCATACGTTCCATGTTTGAGCTCTGTAACAGTGTCACTGTTTTTGCAGGCTGAGAGTTCATTTTGACTATGAGACACAAAGCTGTGGTAGAGCTTCAAGCCTTCATCTTTCCCAATGTTGCCATGGTACTGCATCCCTTTTCCTTTTGGCTTTCCTCCAAGCGTAGCTTGCGGTACTATGAGAACACTGCCTGGTAGCTGAAGGACTGAGGTGTACTTTCCAGATTCTGTCTCACAAAGCTTCGTGTTCAGCAATGTGTTCACTGAGTGAGAAAACAGGTGTAAATTAAACACAGTGTATATTACATTTCAGAATTAATGTATGTATGCTTTATTGCAAATGTGAGACAGGAGCAACTGCACAACGTTACCCATTTTGGGGATTATATCTTCAGTTGCACCTTTGAAAAAGCAGATGTAGATAACCATTCCCCTATTAATCTGAACAATAGACAGGTCATTAGTTCGACAAAAACTAGAATTGTGGTTAAGATTAATTATTTAAATATTTTCCCGATACCTCAACCCATTCAGCTTCGCTCTCAGCATCTGGAGGTTTGACCTGCAGTCGTGCATGCAGACACTGCTGGAGAAGCACTCGCGCTTTCATGCCGTTATCTGTTCTCTCGGACATCGCTACGAAATATGCCGGAAATTGCCGATTTCAATGACAGTGATCATCAATTTAATTCCGAGATAACATAAATAATATCAGTTTATTTTGAAATGAACCATGGAACTACCGGGGGTTCCGCTTCCGCGTGAGAAGCCAAACAATATACGTCATCAAGAGTCGACAGTGCGACGCGAATTCACGGCAGCTCATGCCATCTATATTTTTGTTTAAAAAAAATTACACTGTATTTGTGATATATTATATGATTTATTCAAAGACCTAACCAAGCACTAAACCGATAGAAACGAGTGTCACATGGAAACCACAGCGGTGTCTCTGTCTTTGTTTTGTTCGTGACATTGTCTGAAATCTCGTCTCTGGGAGCTTTATAAGATGGTTAAATTACACGACAGCTACAAAAGGTTTTTGCAAATATATACATTGTCCTCAAACATTATAGGCACACCACTTTTGGCTAGCAGATTTGTTCCTGCACATCAAAATAGACATGAAATCCGCTTTAAGGTAAGTAAAATTCATTAATATGGCTATTGATTACAGGTGCCCTAATTATTAATTGTGTATAGATGCATAAACCCAACGACATTACAGACACATATTCTCCCACTTTTTTCTGTTTAGACTTCAGGTGCTGGTGAACGAGCTCTACAGGAGAGACAGAGGCAGCACATGGCCAGAGGTTTGCCAAAACAAAAGCCCATAGCTGGAGTCAAAGAGGTCATTGTTGTTGCATCAGGGAAAGGAGGGGTGGGAAAGTCCACAACAGCAGGTCTGTTGTCTTTTGCGTTCATTGACCTTTGTGTGTTTCATGCCACAATAATTTCCAATCTGTTTGTTTTACTCTTTATGGTATCAACTACCAGCATTTCTCTGAAAACCTCATTTAGTTTAATGTCTTCACAGTGAATCTTGCTCTTGGACTTATGGCTAACGATCAGGTGACATTCAGATAACCCTATCTCAGACACTGTATTGAAACCACAAAATGATTTAACTTTTTATTAGATGATTTGCCTAGAGTAATATCTTTTTTTCGTACCACTGCTGCATGTAGAGTAAATCGGTGGGTATTCTAGATGCTGATGTCTATGGCCCCTCCGTTCCAAAGTTAATGAACCTAAAAGGAAACCCTGAATTAACTGACAGTGAGTTTTGTGGCCACATGTGCTTTGTAAACAAAATATATCTTGTTTTATAAGAAAATTAGTTTGTCAGTCTGATCCTTTTTTCTTGATTTTCAGAGAACTTAATGAGGCCACTTGTGAATTTTGGAATTCCTTGGTAAGTACATGACTGATTAATAGTTATAGTGCAAAAGTGTTATTTTATATAGCCTGCTGTTCAAAAGATTTTCAAAATGTATTTAAAAGAAGTCTTTTATGCTTGCCAAGGTTGCGTTTGTTTGATCAAAATTACAGTAACAATGTAATTTAAAATGTAAATAATTCTTGTGATGTCAAAGCTGAATTTTCAGCATCATTACTCCAGTCTTCAGTGTCCTTCAGAAATCATTCTAATATGCATCTATTTGCTGCTCAAGAAACATTTCTTATTATGTCGAACAGTTGTGCAGCTTGTTGAAACCGACATTTTACAGGATTCCTGCAACATAAATCTCATACATAGAAGCATTAAATTATTTTTAAAAAATCTCACTGAAGATCTCACACAAATTTTTTTTCTTTTATACAATGTTTAAATGTTTTAAGGTTTTACTTTTTGCTTCTCCGTCCTCTGCAGTATGTCAATGGGCTTTCTGGTTGAAGAAGTTGCACCTATTGTGTGGAGGGGTCTGATGGTGATGTCAGCTATTGAGAAACTCATTAGACAGGTGTGCAATTTGGATTTGGAAATTGCTGCTGATAATAGGATTTTGTCAAATATCTATTTTTTTTCTCAGTTGTCCTCATCTAGCACAAATAGATGTGATTTCTTCAATAGAGTTCAATTTCCATCCATTGGCACATTTTGAATGATTGTGCATGAATTATTCTCTACCCTGGTTTCATGTGAAATTTTGTAATTTTCTGCAGTCTAAGAAAATAATCCAATTTACTCAACATTGTTGTTGCTTTCACTACAGTAATGACTTTTTCCATGCAGGTCGATTGGGGGAATCTGGATTACCTAGTGATTGATATGCCACCTGGAACTGGAGATGTCCAACTGTCTATTACTCAGAATATTCCTATAGCAGGTAAATAAACAAATGTGTTACAGCTGATTTATGGTCTGTATGCCTCTTTTTGGCATCTATTACAATCTGAAAGGAGCATTCTACCTAATGTCAGTCACAACACAGCGCCATGGATCTTTCCAATTCAGATTGTCATTTAAGGTTTGATTGTCATTGCTGGTATCAGGTGGGAGAGAATTGGATAATATTTTCTAGTATTCAGAACATACATCATGAAATCAGCCTTTACGGCTCTTAAACATAATGTAAGTACATTTTGACTGGTTTATACACCAAACATCAAGCTTAGTTGTATAATTTATGCTAAACTGATGTTTATTTTGTCTTTAAGGCGCTGTAATTGTGTCTACGCCTCAAGACATTGCCTTGCTAGATGCACGAAGAGGTGCCGAGATGTTCAGAAAGGTTAATGTTCAGGTAAAGCATTTGCTTTTGTGTTTAAAGGCTCCAGTTCCAACTTGTCATTAAATTATAGTGGAAAGTAATAGAGTTTAAGCAGGTTGGGTTCATGCTGATAGAGACCTACATTTGAAGCAATATAAATAGCATCAAAAATATTAATATCATAATCTTTAATTTTGTGTTAATTCTGTGACTGTTATTTCCGACAGAAAATACCTGATTGGTATCAGTATTTTTTTTTTGTTTGTTTTAATAAATTTACGTTTAAGGATGTGCTTTGTGCATTCAGGTGCTGGGTCTAGTTCAGAACATGAGTGTTTTCCAGTGTCCCAAATGCAGTCATCAAACACACATTTTCGGCTCGGATGGGGCTAAAGAGCTGGCTCAGACCCTTGGTGTTGAGATGCTTGGTAAGGCCATTCTGTATAAAGTATTACATTATGACTGACTGTTTTAGCATTTAAGCACATAAAAAGCTTTGATATTTATCAAATGTAATGCATATTATGAGGTCAAATTGTATGTAACTAGATTTGATTCCATTGGATTGGCCAATCTGTGAGCAGACAAGGTTTTCTTTTCTCACTCCAGGAGACATTCCTCTTCATCTCAACATAAGAGAAACATCAGACAAGGGACAGCCCGTGGTTGTGTCATCCCCAGATAGTCCAGAAGTAAGTGAATCATGTTGGAATCCTGTCTAGCTTTTCATTGTTTTCCATTAGTTACTTACTGTAAGCCTTTCATGATCTTTGGGTGCGCTACACTTTGGTAACATGTATTGATAAATGACAAAATTGAAATGCAAATATTGTATATTTGTTGTATATAATATACAGTTGAAGTCAAAGGTTTACATACACCTTGCAGAATCTGCAAAATGTTAATTATTTTACCAAAATAAGAAGGATCATACAAAATGCATGTTATTGTTTATTTAGTACTGACTTGAATAAGATATTTCACATAAAAGATGTTTACAGATAATCCACTAAGAGACTAATCAGCTGGCAGACTTCAGTCTGACAGAGTTTTCCATTTTTAACAAACGTTTATAGAACTGATCTGAAAAAAGATTCATGAAATCATTTTCTAATATATTCATGCATATTTTCCTGTTTTGCAGGCCGAGGCTTACAGAAGAGTTGCAGCTGCAGTAGTACGCCGACTAGCGGAGCATCCAAGATAAATGATGTCCACATTTAATGTAGTTTTGCTGACCTGAGGAAAATATCAGTATTGTATCATTGTCTCCTACTTGTTTACTCATTTAAATTGGTAACACATACCCATTAGAATATTATCATTTATGTTCTTTATTTATGCACTGACATACAGTTCATGTTATTTAGAGATTCAAATATGTAATGAAAATAAGAACTCATCGCAGTTATGATCATGTTATAAGTGCCCTAATGTAATGTCCATTTCCATGTACAAATCTCAGATGTGGATCTTTTCCCACTAGAATAGACTGACAAGTTTTTTAAATAAAAGGAAATGGGTCAAAGGGCAGGTTTTGGGCAGCTTCAGCAAAGTGTCATTCCTCATCCATAAAAATGTTCATTACAGATCTTGACCACTTGATGGCAGTGCATATGTTTTCATACATCTGCTTGTGCTTTGTTTGATTTATAGTGATAGCTAAATTAGATCTTTCACTTAAACCATGACAAATTTTCTTCTTTTGACAGTAACATGATTGGACTCTTCTGTTACTTAATTACATTTAATAAAGATAAACGGTCCTGGTCCAATAGGAAAAGTTGGATGAAGTTTTCACGGGATGAGAAAAGCAGGGTCACTTCCTGCATATTTTCACAGCTCCCTTGACTCAGCTGAAACAGCCGTATTCAGTCCACCCCTGTGGAACACTGGCCAGACAGACCAGTCTGTGATTCATCACAGCAATGAAGCTATTTTGCTTTCTTTTAGTCTCAATTGCTTAACTGTTCCCAGAAGACCGACCCTGGGGGTTTCAGCTGTACAATGACCTCAGCTGAATTTGGACAGTTTCACATTTGGCGTTATTTATTTTCTCTTTGTTTTCACGATAAAGAAAGCGTTATCCAATGACCGATGTCATTGAGCGCAGTGCTGTGACTCACATTCCCATGAGTGTATCATTGAGGTGTAAACAGCAAATAAACATCCATTCATATAGAGATGTAGAATTCACCAAAATTCTGCCTGGGATTTTTGTCCCACAAAGGGAATTTCACAACAAATGGGAGAAGACTATTCATAAATCTGATCCTAGATCAGATGACCTCCACTTATGAAACCTTATCAGCTTGTGAGACACTGCATAACATGGGCATATTCAGATTACTTAACAAGCAACATGATTGAGCATGCTTCAGGTAATTCCCAGCTGGCAAGAAACAGATTTCTAAAACAGTGTCCTTGTGGCATTCTCAGTGGCATTATAAATGCAGACTTTGCCCCATGTGGTAAATGTGGCTTATAGCTTCCACTTCCTAAGGCTATGGGGGGAAAAAAATCAATAATTAAATGGTGTAGCTGTGCAGCCCAAGAGGACAGAGGGCAGTCTTATTTCTGTCTCATCTTTGATTCATGAGCAGATACTGTTAATAAGATAAGCTGACGTGCAAACAAAAGACATTTAAGGAGAAATCGTTATCTCTAAAATGAATATTGCTCAAGAATGGTCTCTTCACTGTAAATCATTCTAGTTGTGTAATGTAAAACAGCACAGTTTTTTAACCAGATCCTGATCATTATTATTATTGCAAATGGCATAAATAATTATTTAACTACGTGTGGCAATCTGCATCCTTATGTTGAGTACATGATGAAATCTTCATGGCTTAAGTTTGGCTTTATGCCTGTAAATTGGCTGAAGTGGTGATCTGCACATGTATAATAGAAGATATATATGTATAATTGATTAAAATTATGTAAGGTGCGTGCCTTCTGGGGCCGAGGTTTTTCAAAGCGGCTTAAGTATACTGTTGGCATGTATAATAAATCTTCATTAATGCTATATCTTGAGACCTGATTCTGAGAAACATCAGAACACTTTCAGAAAAAAATCTTAATACTATAAATAAAATAAATTGTACATTTAGGGGCACAACAGCTTGTCACTGTGGCAGTACCTTAACTTTGTACCTTATTTACCCTTAAAAGGTTCATAATATACCTTAAGAGTACATATTACCAGAATTATTATAGTTAATTAAAATTGAAACTAAAATTAAAACCATAAAAAAAAGCATTTTCAGTACTTGAAATAAAATAAACTTGACTGAAATAAAAAATAACTGAAATTTAAAATAAAAAATAAAAAAGGTTTTATTACAGCTTGTTGGCCAAGGCAACAGTTCTCATTTTAATTTATTTGAACTTGATGTACTAAAACAATAAACGAAAAAAATAAATAAATAAAATAAAATATATATATATATAATTATTTGTGAAATTTACCAACAATTTCTGAGTGAAAACTGTTTTAAAGTAAATCCTATACCATTTTTTCAGTGTCCTCCAACTAATATGCACCTTTTATGAACCCTAAAGGTTCATTTTTTACACATTTCCCCCCTGTAATATATAGCTTGCAATGTTGTTAATATGTTTATCTTTCCTATTTTATTTATTCAATAAATTGGGACCCCCCCCCCATGTAAGCATGTACTTGAATTCAGAGATCTGTTAGTCTTACCCATTCAGCACTTATTTAATCTTAAAAGCTAGCTAAGAACAGCATTTTTAAGCTCCAGGCTTTAAGATCAGAGAGATAATCTGACAATATTACGAATGTGGCTGCATTTATTTGCATGATATCTCTCTCCTGAAGCCTCGTCTGCAGTGACCCGGAAACCCAGGCCTTCCCACAATCCCAAGCGTGGATCCATAGCCATGGCAATGTAGCCGTGCTGCTGCTCAGGGTACATAGCAGCAGCAGCTGGTTCCAATTGCACTGCAGCGCATGGGAACAGGAGGGGGGCTCCTGCTAAATATGAGGTGCTTTAACTCTCTCGCATTGGTATTCTTTAAACTTTGGGAACATCTCTATAGGCAATATTAGCTGTATACAACTATATTTTAGTTGAGCAGATATTTATTAAAAAAAACAAAATGTGGGGAATACTATTTGTGTATCAAACATTTACCTAAGCATTTGGCTATTTTAGATTACGTTAAATTCATAGCGATGACTATGCTTATCTTGCACAATCAGGCTCCACACAAAGGGTGTGGACACCAGGGCTTCTCAGCAAGACTCCAAGCACAGCTGACAGTGAATCTGCAGATCTGAGGGGTGTTGGAAGGAGATTTAGGGGTGGGGGGAAGGTAAATAATTCATGATGTAAAAGGCAAGATTTAAAGGAGGCATGGACAGACACAGCGAGGCCTGATTCTGAGTGTTTGATGTCCACACGTTAGTGTTTTGTGGGCAGTAGCTGCAATGAACATTTAATTAAGAACATTACTACTTTGTATACAGCCTGTGTTGGAGAAGTACAACCATTATAGAAAGTAATTTTGTTATATTACTATTGATAGCAAGACAACTTAAAAAAAATCTGCATAAAAAAAACTTACAACAAATATGAGAAATGTTGCCTTGTCAACTACCTTAAGTTTAAATTGAAATACTAAAATGACTAAAACTTAAATAATTCAAACTAAAGCTATAGTAATATCAAAAAGTAATAAAAATGACAAAACTGAATTACTAAAACTTAAAAACTAAAATGAAAACTCAAATATGAATACATACTATAATAGTATATAAATAATACTAAAATAACACAGTTTTGAATCTAGAATGACACAAAAACAGATGGGGCTTTTTATTGCAAACAGAGAGTTTCAATGGATGCTTTTCAAATGAACATCCTTAGAGGAAGTGATGGCTGCACATGGCTGATGGCAGTAACATTTGAATGTTAAATACAGACACAATCATGACACTGTGATGAAATTCACTTTCAGACTCAGGGTTTCAGAGCCATTGTTCAACAAATCAAATCAGATCTGGATAAAAGAGGCATACTGTAGTCAGACTATTTGATTTATGGTCAGAATTTACCAAGCACAGCCTCAGGGAATCTTGAAAAAATAGTATCATGGTTTAAGCAGCACATGTTTTCAACATTGAGAAGTTCTTGAGCAGCAAATCAGCATAGAGTGATTTCTGCTGAAGTAATGAGGCTGAAAATTCAGCTTTGCATCACAGGAATAAAATAGAAACATTTTAAATTGTAATATTTTTCACAATATTACAGTTTTACTGTATTTTTGATCAAATACATGCAGCCTTGATGAACAAAGGAGACTTCTCGCAAAAATATTAAAAATGTTACTGACCTTTCTGAACTTTTGAATAGTATGTGGTACGAAAATATGAAGTACGAAACAATCCACCAATCATACAATATGTACTTTGAGCATTAGCATGACGATAATTTGAAGTAAAAATTCACTGTAAAAAAAATTCAGTTCTTAAAACTCCATTAGATGAGTATAAGGTCCATTTGTATCCAGCTTCAAGACTTGTCTGTTTCCATACGTTCCATGTTTGACCTCTGTAACAGTGTCACTGTTCTTGCAGGTTGAGAGTTCACTTTGACAATGAGACACAAAGCTGTTGTAGAGCTTCAAGCCTTCATCTTTCCCAATGTTGCCATGGTATTGCATCCCTTTTCCTTTTGGTTTTCCTCCAAGCGTCGCTTGCGGTACTATGAGAACACTGCCTGGTAGCTGAAGCACCGAGGTGTACTTTCCAGATTCTGTTTCACAAAGCTTCATGTTCAGCAGTGTGTTCACTGAGTAGGAAAAACAGGTGTCAATTAAATATAGCCTAGTTCAGTCCTAGAGAGCCGCAGTCCTGCAGAGTTCAGCTCCAACCCTGAAAACAAAACTCACCTGCATATAGCTTTAGTAATCCTGAAGACATTGATTAGCTTGCTCAGGTGTGTTTGATTAGGGTTGGAGCTGAACTCTGCGGCTCTCTAGGACCGACCTTGCCTACCCCTGGCCTAGTTTATATTCTATTTCAGAATTAATGCATCTATATGTTTTTATTGCAAATGTGAGACAGGAGCAACTGCACAACGTTACCCATTTTGGGGATTATATCTTCAGTTGCACCTTTGAAAAAGCAGATGTAGATAACCATTCCCCTATTAATCTGAACAATAGACAGGTCATTAGTTCGACAAAAACTAGAATTGTGGTTAAGATTAATTATTTAAATATTTTCCCGATACCTCAACCCATTCAGCTTCGCTCTCAGCATCTGGAGGTTTGACCTGCAGTCGTGCATGCAGACACTGCTGGAGAAGCACTCGCGCTTTCATGCCGTTATCTGTTCTCTCGGACATCGCTACGAAATATGCCGGAAATTGCCGATTTCAATGACAGTGATCATCAATTTAATTCCGAGATAACATAAATAATATCAGTTTATTTTGAAATGAACCATGGAACTACCGGGGGTTCCGCTTCCGCGTGAGAAGCCAAACAATATACGTCATCAAGAGTCGACAGTGCGACGCGAATTCACGGCAGCTCATGCCATCTATATTTTTGTTTAAAAAAAATTACACTGTATTTGTGATATATTATATGATTTATTCAAAGACCTAACCAAGCACTAAACCGATAGAAACGAGTGTCACATGGAAACCACAGCGGTGTCTCTGTCTTTGTTTTGTTCGTGACATTGTCTGAAATCTCGTCTCTGGGAGCTTTATAAGATGGTTAAATTACACGACAGCTACAAAAGGTTTTTGCAAATATATACATTGTCCTCAAACATTATAGGCACACCACTTTTGGCTAGCAGATTTGTTCCTGCACATCAAAATAGACATGAAATCCGCTTTAAGGTAAGTAAAATTCATTAATATGGCTATTGATTACAGGTGCCCTAATTATTAATTGTGTATAGATGCATAAACCCAACGACATTACAGACACATATTCTCCCACTTTTTTCTGTTTAGACTTCAGGTGCTGGTGAACGAGCTCTACAGGAGAGACAGAGGCAGCACATGGCCAGAGGTTTGCCAAAACAAAAGCCCATAGCTGGAGTCAAAGAGGTCATTGTTGTTGCATCAGGGAAAGGAGGGGTGGGAAAGTCCACAACAGCAGGTCTGTTGTCTTTTGCGTTCATTGACCTTTGTGTGTTTCATGCCACAATAATTTCCAATCTGTTTGTTTTACTCTTTATGGTATCAACTACCAGCATTTCTCTGAAAACCTCATTTAGTTTAATGTCTTCACAGTGAATCTTGCTCTTGGACTTATGGCTAACGATCAGGTGACATTCAGATAACCCTATCTCAGACACTGTATTGAAACCACAAAATGATTTAACTTTTTATTAGATGATTTGCCTAGAGTAATATCTTTTTTTCGTACCACTGCTGCATGTAGAGTAAATCGGTGGGTATTCTAGATGCTGATGTCTATGGCCCCTCCGTTCCAAAGTTAATGAACCTAAAAGGAAACCCTGAATTAACTGACAGTGAGTTTTGTGGCCACATGTGCTTTGTAAACAAAATATATCTTGTTTTATAAGAAAATTAGTTTGTCAGTCTGATCCTTTTTTCTTGATTTTCAGAGAACTTAATGAGGCCACTTGTGAATTTTGGAATTCCTTGGTAAGTACATGACTGATTAATAGTTATAGTGCAAAAGTGTTATTTTATATAGCCTGCTGTTCAAAAGATTTTCAAAATGTATTTAAAAGAAGTCTTTTATGCTTGCCAAGGTTGCGTTTGTTTGATCAAAATTACAGTAACAATGTAATTTAAAATGTAAATAATTCTTGTGATGTCAAAGCTGAATTTTCAGCATCATTACTCCAGTCTTCAGTGTCCTTCAGAAATCATTCTAATATGCATCTATTTGCTGCTCAAGAAACATTTCTTATGTCGAACAGTTGTGCAGCTTGTTGAAACCGACATTTTACAGGATTCCTGCAACATAAATCTCATACATAGAAGCATTAAATTATTTTTAAAAAATCTCACTGAAGATCTCACACAAATTTATTTTCTTTTATACAATGTTTAAATGTTTTAAGGTTTTACTTTTTGCTTCTCCGTCCTCTGCAGTATGTCAATGGGCTTTCTGGTTGAAGAAGTTGCACCTATTGTGTGGAGGGGTCTGATGGTGATGTCAGCTATTGAGAAACTCATTAGACAGGTGTGCAATTTGGATTTGGAAATTGCTGCTGATAATAGGATTTTGTCAAATATCTATTTTTTTTCTCAGTTGTCCTCATCTAGCACAAATAGGTGTGATTTCTTCAATAGAGTTCAATTTCCATCCATTGGCACATTTTGAATGATTGTGCATGAATTATTCTCTACCCTGGTTTCTCCTTCAGAAATCATTCTAATATGCATCTATTTGCTGCTCAAGAAACATTTCTTATTATGTCGAACAGTTGTGCAGCTTGTTGAAACCGACATTTTACAGGATTCCTGCAACATAAATCTCATACATAGAAGCATTAAATTATTTTTAAAAAATCTCACTGAAGATCTCACACAAATTTTTTTTCTTTTATACAATGTTTAAATGTTTTAAGGTTTTACTTTTTGCTTCTCCGTCCTCTGCAGTATGTCAATGGGCTTTCTGGTTGAAGAGGTTGCACCTATTGTGTGGAGGGGTCTGATGGTGATGTCAGCTATTGAGAAACTCATTAGACAGGTGTGCAATTTGGATTTGGAAATTGCTGCTGATAATAGGATTTTGTCAAATATCTATTTTTTTTCTCAGTTGTCCTCATCTAGCACAAATAGATGTGATTTCTTCAATAGAGTTCAATTTCCATCCATTGGCACATTTTGAATGATTGTGCATGAATTGAATAAGATATTTCACATAAAAGATGTTTACAGATAATCCACTAAGAGACTAATCAGCTGGCAGACTTCAGTCTGACAGAGTTTTCCATTTTTAACAAACGTTTATAGAACTGATCTGAAAAAAGATTCATGAAATCATTTTCTAATATATTCATGCATATTTTCCTGTTTTGCAGGCCGAGGCTTACAGAAGAGTTGCAGCTGCAGTAGTACGCCGACTAGCGGAGCATCCAAGATAAATGATGTCCACATTTAATGTAGTTTTGCTGACCTGAGGAAAATATCAGTATTGTATCATTGTCTCCTACTTGTTTACTCATTTAAATTGGTAACACATACCCATTAGAATATTATCATTTATGTTCTTTATTTATGCACTGACATACAGTTCATGTTATTTAGAGATTCAAATATGTAATGAAAATAAGAACTCATCGCAGTTATGATCATGTTATAAGTGCCCTAATGTAATGTCCATTTCCATGTACAAATCTCAGATGTGGATCTTTTCCCACTAGAATAGACTGACAAGTTTTTTAAATAAAAGGAAATGGGTCAAAGGGCAGGTTTTGGGCAGCTTCAGCAAAGTGTCATTCCTCATCCATAAAAATGTTCATTACAGATCTTGACCACTTGATGGCAGTGCATATGTTTTCATACATCTGCTTGTGCTTTGTTTGATTTATAGTGATAGCTAAATTAGATCTTTCACTTAAACCATGACAAATTTTCTTCTTTTGACAGTAACATGATTGGACTCTTCTGTTACTTAATTACATTTAATAAAGATAAACGGTCCTGGTCCAATAGGAAAAGTTGGATGAAGTTTTCACGGGATGAGAAAAGCAGGGTCACTTCCTGCATATTTTCACAGCTCCCTTGACTCAGCTGAAACAGCCGTATTCAGTCCACCCCTGTGGAACACTGGCCAGACAGACCAGTCTGTGATTCATCACAGCAATGAAGCTATTTTGCTTTCTTTTAGTCTCAATTGCTTAACTGTTCCCAGAAGACCGACCCTGGGGGTTTCAGCTGTACAATGACCTCAGCTGAATTTGGACAGTTTCACATTTGGCGTTATTTATTTTCTCTTTGTTTTCACGATAAAGAAAGCGTTATCCAATGACCGATGTCATTGAGCGCAGTGCTGTGACTCACATTCCCATGAGTGTATCATTGAGGTGTAAACAGCAAATAAACATCCATTCATATAGAGATGTAGAATTCACCAAAATTCTGCCTGGGATTTTTGTCCCACAAAGGGAATTTCACAACAAATGGGAGAAGACTATTCATAAATCTGATCCTAGATCAGATGACCTCCACTTATGAAACCTTATCAGCTTGTGAGACACTGCATAACATGGGCATATTCAGATTACTTAACAAGCAACATGATTGAGCATGCTTCAGGTAATTCCCAGCTGGCAAGAAACAGATTTCTAAAACAGTGTCCTTGTGGCATTCTCAGTGGCATTATAAATGCAGACTTTGCCCCATGTGGTAAATGTGGCTTATAGCTTCCACTTCCTAAGGCTATGGGGGGAAAAAATCAATAATTAAATGGTGTAGCTGTGCAGCCCAAGAGGACAGAGGGCAGTCTTATTTCTGTCTCATCTTTGATTCATGAGCAGATACTGTTAATAAGATAAGCTGACGTGCAAACAAAAGACATTTAAGGAGAAATCGTTATCTCTAAAATGAATATTGCTCAAGAATGGTCTCTTCACTGTAAATCATTCTAGTTGTGTAATGTAAAACAGCACAGTTTTTTAACCAGATCCTGATCATTATTATTATTGCAAATGGCATAAATAATTATTTAACTACGTGTGGCAATCTGCATCCTTATGTTCAGTACATGATGAAGTCTTCATGGCTTAAGTTTGGCTTTATGCCTGTAAATTGGCTGAAGTGGTGATCTGCACATGTATAATAGAAGATATATATGTATAATTGATTAAAATTATGTAAGGTGCGTGCCTTCTGGGGCCGAGGTTTTTCAAAGCGGCTTAAGTATACTGTTGGCATGTATAATAAATCTTCATTAATGCTATATCTTGAGACCTGATTCTGAGAAACATCAGAACACTTTCAGAAGAAAATGTGCAAAAAATTGGACCTTTACAGGGACAGCACAGCTTGTCACTATGGCTGTGCCTTAACTTTGTACCTTATTTACCGTTAAAAGGTTCATAGTATACCGTAAGGGTATATATTACCAGGGTTATTATAGTTAATTAAAATAATTAAATTAAAACCATAAAAAAAGCAAATAAACCTGACTGAAGTAAATAAATGAAATTTAAAAAAGGTGACTAACACTACAGACAACACAACAGATTCAAATATTAATGAAAGCTATAATAGAAGCTAAATTCTACAATAACACTGCATACTACACTGTAAAATGTTTTTTGAAGATGTAAAAAAAATATTGGATTTTTATTTTTTTATTATTGGATTTGTATTAATATTATTATTAAGTTTTACAGGAAAATACTATTTCAGTATTTCTACTTCAAATTTCACATTTAATTGAATGCTATTGCCATTTCTTTGTACTTATTTGTGAAATTTACCAGCAATTTCTATAGTGAAAACTGTTTCAAAATAATCCTACCATTTGTTTTCAGCACCCTCTAAATAATATGCATCTTTTATGAACTCTAAAGGTACCATTTTTTACACATTTCTCCCCTGTAATATATAGTCTGCAAAGTTGTTCAAATTTACCATGTTGATCTTTCCTATTTTATTTATTCAGTAAATTAGATTTTTTTTCCCTTTCATGTGTCAGTAACAAACAACTACCCATTGAAGTTCCTTTCTATACTCTCATAGGAAGCTTGTATACTTGAATTCTGGAGATCTGCAAGTCTTACCCATTCAGCACTTATTTAATTTTAAAACCTAGCTAAAAACAGCATTTTTAAGCTCCTGACTTTAAGATCATAGAGATAGTCTGACAATATTAAGCATGTGGCTGTAGTTATTTGCATGATATCTCTCTCCTGAAACCTCGTCTGCAGTGACCCGGAAACCCAGTCCTTCCCACAATCCCAAGTGTGGATCCATAACCATGGCAATGTAGCAGTGCTGCTGCTCAGGGTAAATAGCAGCAGCAGCTGGTTCCAATTGCACTGCAGCACAGGGGAACGGGAGGGGGGCGATGTATGCTTAAGGAGGCGTCTATGAGGTGCGTTAACGCTCTAGCATTGGCATTCTTTACAATAAACTTTGGGAGCATCTCTACAAGCAATATTAGCTGTATAAAACTATATTTCAGGTAGTTGAGCAGGTATTTATTTAAAAAACAACGTGGGGAATATCCTTCCTGTATCAAACATTTACCTAAGCCTTTGGCTATTTTATTTGATAGATTACATTAAATGCATAGGGATGACTGGCCTTATCTTGCACAATCAGGCTCCATGCAAAGGGTGTGGACACCAGGGCTTCTCAGCAAGACTCCAAGCACAGCCGACAGTGAATCTGCAGATCTGAGGGGTGTTGGAAGGAGATTTGGGGGTGGGGGGAAGGTAAATAATTCATGATGTAAAAAAGAGAGAGGGCAAGATTTAAAGGAGGCACAGACACATTATGAGGCCTGATGCTGAGCGTTTGATGTCCACACATTTGTGTTTTGTGGGCAGTAGCTGCACTAATGAACATAAGAACATTAATTAATGCTATATTTTGCATACAGTCTGTGTTGGGGAAGCTCGGTCATTATAGAAGATAATGCTGTTATTAGGTATTATTGATAGCAAGACAACTTTTATACATTTAAAAATAATAATAATAATAACAACCAGATTGCTACTTTTCAATGTATTGTTGGCTAAAACTAAAATTAAAGCCAAAACTATTAAACACCATTTCGGTCATTTAAATAAATTGGAAATAAAATAAAAATATAAATATTATATGAAAAACTTGAAACAAAACTGATAAATGTTGCCTTGTCAACTAACTGAAATAAGTTTAAATTGAAGGACTAAAATTACTAAAACTGAAATGAAAATCGTTCAAATTAAAGCTATAGAAATAAAATGTAATAAAAATGACAACAAAATTACTACAACTATAATTAAAATGTAAACTGAAATATAAAATAATAAATACTATAATAGTAAATAAATAATACTAAAATAACACTCTTTTGAATCCAGAATGACACAAAATCGGATTTTATTTGCAAATAGAGTTTTAATGGATGGTTTTCAAATGAACATCCATTAGAGGAAGTGATGACTGCACATGGCTGATGGCAGAAACATTTGAATGTCAAATTCAGACACAATCATGACACTGTGATAAAATTCACTTTCAGACCCACAGGCTTTTAGAGCCATTGTTCAACAAAACAGATCAGATCTGGATAAAAAAAACTGTAGTCAGACTATCTGATTTATAGTTTTAAAGCGCAGCCTCAGAGAATCCTGAAAAAAAAGTATCATGGTTTTCACAGAAACATTAAGCAGCACAACTCTTTTTTTAACATTAATGATACAAAATGTTTCTTGAATAGCAAATCGGCATATTAGGATGATTTCTGAAAGATCATGTGACACTGAAGACTGGAGTAATGATGCTGAAAACTTAGCTTTACATCACATGAATGAATTATTCTTTTAAATACATTAAAATAGAAAACATTTTAAATTGTAATATTATTTCACAACAGTTTTACTGTATTTTTGATCAAATAAATGCAGTGATGAACATGACTTCTCTCAAAAACATTAAACATGTTATTGCCATTTTTTGAGCTTTTGAATGGTATTTGCGGTATGAAAATATGTGAAGTATGAAACATTTATGACCCATTTTTTTTCTGTCTTGACCAACATGTAGGCTACTTTGAACACTTTGACAATAATATCAAGTAAAAATTCACTGAACAAAAATTCAACCTTCTAAAAATGAAAACGTATGTTTTGTGTCTTTTCTTATTAATTAGCAGTGCCAAATTTACCTGCAGTGATAAGTTAAATTTTTTAAGTTTCCAATTTTTTAAACAAAGATAACCACATGATGACAACAATATTTTTATAGACAAAACAATGATTTCAGACCCTAAGTGGTCGAATTGACCATTTGCATTTACAAAAGAAGAAACTTGACATTTGTATTGCGTCCCGGGACAGGGAGTGGCTGGCCACTGACCACAGATAGGCGTTGCCTTGGGAACAGATGCTCTCTAGACAATAGATTTGGTGAACGGCGAATCATT